AGAAGGCGCAACTTTTCTCTTCAGATCCATGAGTCAGGCATACTGGGGTGTCGCTGAGGGCAAAAAAGGATTACGTGCCACGTCGTAGCTCTGCAGTTCGCACAAGAGGGTTTTTTTGTATATGCTCACTTTGCCGTATCGTTATTTAACATGATTTGTTCAGCGCAGTTGCGAGGAATATTACGCAGTCATAAGGACATTTTATTATTCGTGATCGAATAGCTAGGAGAATACTTGTTTTCTCTGCTTTGTTTTGAACGGATTTGAACGGATGCCTAGATTTGAATGGCCTAAGTACTGCTCTCGTGTCTTGCATAAAATGATTCCACAGTTTTTGGTTGCAATCCATTGCACGGACTTACGCAAGCGGATGAACCAGGAAATCCCGTGAAATTCACACTAGTATGGCATGCTTGTTATGTTTGGACATAAGCAACCAAAGAGCGCCGCCAAAAAAGCTACTGATATTCGTTAAAGCCTGAAAGCCAATTCTCAACGTCACCGCATTGATGACTCTGGATGTCACAAATAGGATGACTCGTGACTGTTTTGTATCCGAATTCCGTGGACGGCGGAGAAGCATGCCAAGACAAATGGCCGTCAGTTAGCTTCCATGAGTAGTATAGGTATGGCGAGGCTGGCAACGTCGTGGTGAGTGGCAATTCTTTGATACGCTAGAAACGTTTATCATTTCTGGCTAAGGACCAAAGTCGTCTTTATCTTCGGATCTGGCGCGAGAGGGTCGCGTTGGCGGTGCCTCGTGCTTTCATACCTGAATGGTTCGGTTGTGAACGGCAGAAACGCATGCCACAGCACCATGTGGCACGATATTTCGCCGGTGCTTATTTCAATTGGCGTAGTGGTTGCGTCCGCCTGTGAGCCATGTCAGAACATCACATAATGCGCGATGGTACAGAGGCAGTTTGCCTGTTTCCATGGGCGTGCGACGTCATAGTCGCAGCTTACGCTGACCTGTTGGAGCCTATTGCAAAGCGCCCAACGCTGTGCTGGACTCAATCCTGCCTGACTCAGCTCCCGAACTTTCCGTGCCTTCCCGTCACCCTCTTGTTGGACGCGCGCGGCGCGTGGCGCGGCGCTACCGTGGCTTGGACTGTCAGCGACTGCCCCAGTCGTCTTAGCTTCCAGCGACCGTGGCTTCCCCGTGAATCGAACTCGGACCGTTCGCTTAGAGTTCCGCTGCTGCCAACTCTGCTAACGTGCCGCACTGTTGCAGGCGCGGTGCACCGGTGCGACGTGTGCGGCAACGTGTACAAGTACCGCGACTCACTGCGCCACCACCGCAAGAAGCACCTGGGCCTCACCACGTGCCCGCTGTGCGGCAAGGTGTGCAGCATCGTGGCGGACCTGCGCCGCCACTTGGAGCTGTCACACGACCTGACCGGCGACCAGGTGCGCCGCATCGTGCCCACCAAGAGCAAGGAGCGGCCGACGCCGGCCGCCAGCGGTCAGCCGCCGCCGCTGGGCGAGGCGGACGGCTGGTGACTGGCGGGCTCGCCCGGTGCCTTTTGAGGCGTTCCCTCGACACCGGACGGGGTGCTCCACCTGGTGACATAGGGGATGTCTCGTATGCTGTCTGACAGGGCGAGTGTGGGAGAGAGAAGAAAAGAGAGAGTGAAGCTCGATGACTGGCGAGTGGTCGACTTCGAGGGGTCAGTCTGGGTGTGCGAACATTTGTGCCGACCGCCGGTGTCGATGCCACGCGTTTGGATGCGTAAGGGAAGCGCCAACGAGCCAGCTTGCGTTGCGACCTGGAAACGTGTGGCCGCCTTCCAAAGATGGGCCGTCCATTCCAGACGCTTTTTCGTTCTGCTGTGGAATAGCACGACTTGCGACTGCCAGCACTAAGTGAACATCAGTTGCGAGCTGATTCCGGTGTGGTCTGGAGCCAGCTTTGTTGACAAGCAGCAAGATTCGTGGAACGGGCGATGCGCCCTGTGTGTCGGAAACAAAGTGGGATGGTGATGGAAGCGTAATGACGCGTCGTTTGGTCTGAACTGGGTCTGCGCTCTTGAATGACTGACCGGTGTGAAGTTGTCTTTGAAACCGCATCGAGTTGGTTGGCAATGTTTCGCAGGGAGTCGAGGCCTCAGAGTCGTGAGCTGTCTTGTGTGTCAGTCATGTTTATATCACTGTAAAGTGTGCTGCCGCGAACTTTTCGACCATGTTCCATCTCATTTGTTGAACGGGCTGCACCATCGCACCCCTCATCACATCATGATCCTCCACCCCCCACCCCCTTGGTTGAACTTCCTCAGCCAGCAACAGGCACGGCTAGCCTTGTAGGTATCCCGTCGCGGAATGCTTTATGAAGCTGTGGACGCATGGTAAACCGAATTTCCATCCTTTTTGTTATAGTTCCGAACGATTAGAACATGCTGACTGTACTCTGGAAGTGGGGCATCGCCTTTTTGTGTGGTTGTCAATAAATTGTGAATATGCACTTCATGTGGAAATTGACAGTTGTGTTCGTGTGGTTGAAATTAGTGTGCATACTCTCGCGCACTCGCGCGCCGACAGCGCCGCTGGTGTCGGAGGACGCCGACGTGGAGCGAGCAATGCCTGGCCTGGCGCGGGTCCTCGAAAAACCACATCAACGTATTTTGTATGCATGTACGTTTACGTATTTACAACAGCAAGCGCCGATGTATGTCCTTATGCCAAACGATGCACCACAGCCCAGCGCGCTTGCGCCACCATGCTCAGGCTTGTTTGGTAGGGTTTTTCTACAATACAAATGTTCAACAGCTTTTCACAGGGCATACCTGCATTGTAGGAAAGTGACATATGTTATGCTCGACATTTTCTTGACTTTAACCGGCATCGCTTTTCAAGCATCCACGCGATGGCATAGGTTTGAATTTTGCCGTATTGATATCTTGAAACCCACGTCCGGAAATATGTTGACAGCCGTAGCAAGCGTGAGACACTGAGCTACCCCGTTTGGATTCGCGATGCTGAACATGGGATCAGAAAAGGCCAGATATCGTGGCGGAAGTGACCAAAGATCGTGGCGACGAGAAGGACCCGCCCACTTGTCTGCCAGGCACGCATTTTCTCGCATCTGTGCGTTGCACACCGCCCTCCCATCCCGCACGGCATTTCACTCACGGTTCGTGGTAACGCTATGTTGGGATTGACCACACTGATCACCCCGACTTGCTACTGACATGGTCTCATCGCAACCTGCACCCCCGAGGCAGTGTTTGATTTCAAGCCCTGCCCATGTGTTTTTGTCCATCTGCTACCGTCTTTCGCACTGCTGGTGGCTAATGCTCCCTCCTTTGACAGGCGGCATGAGTTGCAAGATCTGTGGCAAGTGGTACGGTCACGAGAAGTCTCTGTCCCTTCACATGAAGGTGCACGAAGGCCTGACGGTATGCGTTGTCTGCGGCAAGGTCTCCAGCAAGGTGGCCGACTTGAGGAAGCATCTCAAGATGGTACACAAGCTACCACAGGAGGACATCGATCAGATTGTGCCGAAACGAATGCAGCGAGGACTGTACGCAGGGGAGCAGTCTTAACCAGGATCCGACGAAACTGCTACGCGATGCCCGACAATGTGTGCGATGAGGGTCCACGCCGCAGAGGTGGAAGGAGGTGGTGCGTGGCATCGTGGCCGGGGTACGACTGCGTTCTACTCTGCGCTGTGCTCTGTGCTCTGTTACGTGCTCAGGTGTACTCTGTTGTGCCTGTGGAAACACACGCTCTTGATCAGAACGCGCGCGGGTCTTCAGACTTCACGTGATGCCCTTAGCTGTTTCTGCAGTACATCGTAATGTGGGACGAGTTCGGTATGACCCTAGGTGCCTGCGATGATCGCTGCGGCGTTTCGATGGGTTGACCAAATGAAGACATGAAGCCTTCGTGCGCGTCCATTTGGGCCAGGTTCCAGGGCACCATGGACGCACTCGTTGGGTACTCTGTTAGACACGCATCACAGGCGGCACCCGTGAGGAAATCAGGAAATGTTGTAATAAATGTGATGCATGTCCAGTTATGGGCACTTGCACTATGGTTGCGCCGTTTGTTAACATCACACAAAGTTTGCGCGCAAGAATACATCAAGGTGTATTGTTCGATTTTTTGCACAAACTTCTTGGACAGCTGCTGGAGTTTGGGTAAACTCGCGCTGCAAACACAGGTTTCGTTTTGAGTTAACGGCATTTTGTGTTTAGTGTCTAGTGTCTGGACGCTCGGATTGGTGAGCTTCACTTTTCACTTGAAAGGTATGTTTAAAAGAACAAGATGTTCGCGCTTCATAGGTAATTGTCGCCGCCGCGGTACGTTCCGCTTCACCATCCATGCTTCTCTTTCAAAAAGTCATTCTCTCACATACTTGTCGACTCCTTGACGTGATCGAGCGCTTAAGGCAGAAACGACTGCCCTCCCAAGATCTGATGTCAACTCTGGAGCTGCAGACCCTCCCAATACAGCCGAAACCACCACACACCCTTCACACAGAGACAACAGGCCATAATGGCGATACGCCCCCCCCCCCCCCCCCCTCTCCTTAAGGACCAGTCGGGGACGGCGGCTAAAGCAGCCGAGAAAAGATCGCCAACGCCGTGGTCAGGCAGTTTTGAGGACAGCGTCAAAATCTGTGTTCGGAGCGTGCGACTCATGAGAGACGCCCCGAATAAACGGTCACGCCTCGAGACCCAACGTGTCTGCTCTAACATGCTCGCAGGGCGGCGACTGTCTAACATCCTGGCTCTCGTGGTCTGCAGTCGTTCTGGTAGGTCACTTTGACCCAAATGAGAAAAATGTGTGGCGTTGGGGGCCAAAAACTCAGGAAGCGGACTAAGCTCGGCGCAATTACACAAATTCGGAAGTCCAAGAAGTTGTCTGGATTGACTCCCTGTAAGACAAAAGGACTGCAAACAAATTCACTCAGTTGCATTTATGCTTGGTCCATTACTGTCTAGTCTAAAACGTGATGCGTATTGAACCCTAACGCCGCCACTTGTCCGCATTTGCAGCGAAGCACATCTGCCCGCTGTGTGGAAAGACGTACTCGAGCCGTCTCTCACTGGACCTGCACCGCAAGGTCCACTTCGGCCTCACCACCTGCGCGCTGTGCAGCAAGACCTGCAGCCGGGTGAGCGTGCTGCGCAAGCACCTCTCTACTGTGCACCGGCTGGACGAGGAGACGATTCTCAAGATGGCGCCGCGCAACAGGAAGATCGTGCGGCGATGAACGGCGCATGCGCGGAGCGGCGCGTGCGCATGCGCTGGAGATTTGATTGGGGATTTGTGTGCGTGTTTAAGGTTACGCGGAGGAAGCGTGCGCACCACCGATGTGAGCTTAACGTCTTTGAGAAGAAGAAAATATTGCGCGGACGTGCATACCCATGACCGTGCCCATAGTGGTGAGATGGGCTAAAGACTCTTGCGTGCACACTGTGCATATGGACAGACTCAGACAGAAACCTGTCTGTGTGGATGCGACAGGACATGCGACCGTAAGAAGGACGACTGCGTGAGTAATAGATGGTGCGTACGCGTTTTCCGTGCTGTGCTGCTTGGAATGTGGTCATATTTACAGCTCAAACGCAACCTTTGGTGAATTTGGCTGACGGTGCAGCCTAGCGCCATCCTCCACCCAATCAGCAAAGGCCCAGTGCCTTTGCTGATTCATTGGAGTGCGTTATGCGAGGAGCATTGCGATTCCCTTCTGGAGTGGTGCTTTTTTAATGTCAAAGACTCATCCCATGGATTTCGTCGGTCTCGTTTAGAAACTACGTTCGTGTTACTGTGTTCGTCTGTTGTACCTCGTCCATTCGATATTTTTGTCACCAGCGCCTGTGCCATTTTTATAATATAGTAGCATTGCAGCACACCTGGTGTGGCGTTTGCTCTTCTTTTCACGGTCATGTGAGTTCATGCATGATACCAACATGTCGACCAAGCATGTCTTGATGGACTGTTTCCCGCGGCGTCTGTTATGTGGGCAGGGCATTTTATTGCAAGAGCAACAGCAAGAGCGAAGAGTACTACATTAAGATACATTCGCAAAAAGTTTGAAAGGTGCTTCTGATACCGGTAAAGGCCATCCAGTTGCAGGAAGCACAAACTTCCCCTGTTCAAGGCAGTGAAGAAATGCCATTTGAGCCGCTGGTTCTCGGAGTTCTTAAAGGATTAAGCTTGTACACCGGGGCTCATTGCGGTATGTTGATACGCTGGCTCACTTCCCACGCGCTGAAGCGAGGCTTAGCGACGTGCGACGAAATACACCTGAAAATTACAAGTCGAGCGCGGATTTGCTCACTGAGTCAACGGCACTGCAGATTCGAGACGTAAATGAACTTCACAGATGAGCTGTCACCACAACACAAACAATGCCTCTGTTTGGCAACGACAGTATTGTTGGTCTTGGTGAACATATTCACGTCGACTGGGACTCGCACGCACCCGACTGGTGGTGTCGGACTCGTCTCCACCTAAAACGGGTTCACTTGGCATTTGGGCTCCGTCAGATGCAGGTAAATAAGATATCCACGTGCGCAATCAATCAAACGTTTTCTGTGATCAAGCCTTCAAGCAATTCAGCAGCCGGACGGTACTTTTATGAGCGCTTCTATGAGAGGTTAACTGACATCCATAGCGAAACTCTGGACAGACATTGGTCCATTTTCCGATTGTTGAACTTTGTACCGAGCCTTGCGCGAGTATTTCCTCTGTAAGGTGGATCATGTATGAGATACAACGGTTCAATATCAATAATCAGGAGTACTTTTTCAGTGCCTGGGGCACATGATTAGGTACCCGAACCCACCCAAGCTCACATTGTTTTATTTTATGCTAAAATGTTTTAGTCATGCTTTGGCCATTGGACTTAGCCATGGATAGGCGTTTACAAACATGACCAACGGGCGGGGTAGGGCGGAGGTAGGGAGGGATACCCTGGAAAAGACGGAAAGGCCCAGTTTCATCCCTAATATCCCGACATCCCCATCCCCTAACTGGTAATTTGCCGTGTCCGCAGCGTTGTTCAGCTGTGACAACTGCGAGAAGACATATTCAAGTTACGTGTCGCTGCACATGCACCAGAAGGTGCACACCGGATTGACCACGTGCGCGCTATGTGGAAAAACGAGCAGTCGCGTCAGTGACCTGCGCAGACACCTGCACTACGTGCACAGGCTTGGTGATGACGCGATTCAGACGATGGCACCGGGCAGCAGAAAATTGTTGCGCCGCTGAACGGCGCATGCGCCGACAGAAGACGCGTGGAGTTCCAGTTTGTTCAGGGTTGACACGGGCCAGACCCACGCGTGGTCTCGAGTGTGGATGACTCGTTTCTGGGGAGGACGGAGAAAATTGTTTCTCGCTGACGTAGCCGGCGTCCATGTGAGTTCGTTGTGCGTTTGCTGTTCTTTCGCTGTTGCTTCGTGAATCTTGCTGAATTCAAACCAGGAAAATGGTGTTTTGATATGCATGCTGTCACGATGTTGAATCTGGTGCATCAGTGTATCAGTACATTATGCCAGCGGGTATCTAACGATGATTTAACGCATTAAACGATGGATTTTGAAAATATACGTTATATTCCAGTTCCTTGTGCAAATATACACCTTATGCTGACGATTTTGACAACGGCTCCATGCACCTTGTCGTTTCAGGAATCCGTGCTAAGGCACGGACGTATCTCTTCGCTTAACACGCGTCCGAGTGGCCGGTTGAATGCCCTTTGCTCAGGTGGGGTCAATTTGACCCCGCTGAGATCTTGAAAACTAACATAGCTAAATACATCAAATTTACAGGGTGCACTGGCCTGCACGTGAACTCTGTTGTGTTAAAGTTTGGGGTTCCGGGGTCATGGCTTTGGGGTCGAATAACGTCAAACACAGTCCAACTCCAGATTGGTGTCTCGTGCCCCCGGATCTCCTCATACAACCGCCGTGGTGCTAGAAACCTGTTCTAAGCAAAGGATCAGTGAGATAGAGACCTTTTACTGTTATGTCAAATAAGGTCAATATATAAGGTCAGAGGGACCAAATACCTGCCAGTTTGCTTCTTGTGTTGTCTGAGCGTCTGTGGTTACACCAGGTGTTGTGTTCCTAAAATATATATATTGGCCTGGGTCATTTTAGGTTAGTGACCTACTTTGACTTTTTAAAAGCCCATAGGAGATGTCTGTTGCGGTCCCTGTAGTGAATAAATTTAAAATTAGCACTAAAACTACCCCATAAAGTCAAGCTCTCCAGTAAAAAGGCAGATTAGTTTTGATCTCAATCTGACCTTCATACCTGAACCTAGGTCAATGGAATTGGTTTTAATTCTAAATGTAATAGGTGCATTGCCTAAGAGACCATCTTAGGACATGCATTGTTCGTCTAAACGCCCGTTGTTGCATCACATTGAAACGATTCCCTGGAAATGCTTTCTGACAGCAATGGCCTAACTTTGACCTGTTATAAGCCAGGAACGTTATAATGGTTCAGTCTAATTTTTAACATCAAAAGATCCGCTACTTAATTATCTACAGCTTATGCAAAGTTTGGCGCGGCTACCACCGCGCCGTTCGGAATCGTTCTGGAAAACCTCCGGGGAGGTCAATGTGACCCCCACCCGAGCGCGTTTTAAAAGTCACGGTTTGGCCTGTCACTTCGCTGGTGAGCCGCTTCTATGCCTTCTGTGTTTCGTGTGCATCTGTAGTGCACGTAAATTGGTGGCGCGTCGGTGCCGGAGTCACATATCCATAGCATGATTCGTTCTGGCATTTGCCGTGTATCACTGCGCTTTGACTTACCTTATACACTGCGGTAATCAGAGTACAATACGCAAATATACAATCTGCATAGCTTGTTTTGTGCCGTAGGTATGCGAATTTGGACATGATTTGCTTGGATTTTTGTTGCGAATTTTCCGGAGCGATCGCATTCTGCCTAGTGGTCGCTGAAGACGTGACGTAAAGGAGTGTTCCACGTTTGAAGACATTGCAGCAATCATCATGTATTATGAAATAAGGTCACTTATAATTATTGATATACTTTTAAGTGGAAAAGACTTCTGTGAACAACACAATCTCTCTATTTAGTAAACATGCTTCCCAATACTTCGTTACTTGATTGCTTTATAGAACGTTTCTATGACGTCAGAGATGCTGGATGCCAAACTGGCCGAGCGAAATTGCTACACTAGCTCTCATTATCATCCCCCCAAGAGATGGTCGCAGCGGTGCTGGACGTGTTCGCTGAAGTAAATGCCACTATGGGCTCGTGTTTTTCCCCTTTATCGTGACCATGCAGTGATCAAATTCAATAGATATCTAATTGGCAAGTCGCTCATATCTGGCGTTCGTTAGCACGATTTCTAGATATAACGACCGTCAAGTGGCTCCCAATCAATGTCATACAAGCTACGATGGCGTAATCAAACAATGAAGCATAGGCGAGCATATTTAGGGCACAGATAAGTATCATCTACAGCAATATTTTTTACTTAGAAGCATACGAACAGTTATAGGTGAGCTTATTTCATCATATCTGATACGTGCTTCAACGTCGTCAAATGTGTAACATTACCTCTAAAGTATTCGATTACACACCCCATTTCCGTAATACCAACAGCCGTGTCCAGTTTTTTATCTTATGCAGCACACTTTATGATTCGGCATTTAAACTTGCACAGTTTGCTCTCCTTTGACTGCGCTCCAATTGACGTCCAATGTATCTGGAAATCGTTCTCACGAACGCCTGACTTGAATGACTTGATGGTTATGTTCTTGTCGTCCTTGAGCGCTGCATGGCCAATGGGGCGGCAGTAAATCAGTGACGTTTTTGTGACGTCTCGCATGCATGAGTGACATTGAAATAGTCTGCACATTTTCGCGGGCGTGTAGCTCAGAAACTAGAGGGTTTCAAGTCTTATGTCATGAGACACATACATGTATATGACAATAGGTATGACAAGTCTTATGTGAACTGCATGCAATGATCTTCAAGATGGTTGTTTCATTTTAGACCCCTACACAAATGTGGTGCATGAAGTGGTTGAAATCACCGTTGAACCATCAAAAAAGTCCTGGTATGTGTACAATTCATATAGAGAAGAGCATAAAGACGCGTCACTAAGCCGCGACGACGCGCTTTAGTGACGTCACTAAATCTGGATGCTGGCCATAAGCCTGCTCTCGGGGCACTGGTGTGGTATCAGCCATCTAGTAGCCAAATTCATGGGATCGAATCTCATGGGATCCAAACCAACTATAGCGGGAGGGGAGGGGGAGAAGGGGCTACTGGTAGGGGTACGGCTACGGAGAAACATGGGCCCGGCGGAAACAAAACGAGTCCGAGTTCAGGGGTGCATGT